TGTCTTGTGAGCAACTGGTAATTTAAGAAACATGAAACAGTATCCACACTATTGTTAATATTTGATATCCCTCTGCTTTCATGGAGTCAGGCTAGATCCATACAACAGTGTCAAGGAAAAAGTGCAAGTTCTGCTCTTCCTCTGCTTTCCAGACAACTTTTGGTTGTTTTTCCCTTAAATATGAAGGGAGTCAGAGGGGTTTCAGAACAGTCAGCCTGAAGCTGTACCAAGGGGGAAGATGTACATTATCCCAGACTGGATTTTGATAGAGTAGTTCAAGATCAATGTGATAGTTTGCAGCTCATTTGTTGACATGCTTTATATTGATGGTAAAAATCTAGTGAAGAAAAGTGAGGGCAAAAAAGTGTTCCTAATATAGTGTTCTTTCCTTTGTTTAGGGAAATTGTAATAAACAAGATAACAAACTGCTGCAGAAGATCATCTGGTGTTTCCTACAAATACACAAAGGTAATTTGACAAAATCAAATTTGTTTCTTGTTGAGTTTTCTTAATATGAAGCTTCTGTTAATAAATAAATAACCCCTTTAATTCCTACTTCCTTTTGTGCACGGAAACCATATGGTGTGGCATCAGGAAAACCACATAGCTGATATATGTATATTTATATTGTGAAATGGGAAAGGAAGATAGAGTTGAAGAAATGAAGAGCAGTCCGTAAATTGTCAAATAGCATGTGAATGTACAAGAAGAGAATAAAGTCTGTTTCACCACAGTGAAAAATGATGCTCTTGCAGTATTTACTCTCTCACAGCTACCTTAAACCAAGGGTGTGCATGCTGTGGGGTCTGATGACTGGAGGGATCAGTGTGTGTGTCAGTCTAGAGTGGCAGATGCAGTCTCTTCTTTTCTTTCAGATAAACAGTGAAGAAGAAGCTAATGAGAATGAGACAGAGTGGCTTATGGAGGAAGTCGCAGCACCAAATCCAAGAACAGCAAAAGGAGGGCAGGAGAATGGTCACATTGCTACCAAGTCTGTTACATCTGAAGCCCTTACCTCTCTCCGTGTAGATGACCTGGACAGTGAGGACGAAGTGTTAACCATTCCAGATGTAAAGATTCAAACAGGAAGAGGACTAGACAGGAGCAAGCACCCACAAAAGAAGCCACACAGTTTTGGCAATGATAACAAATCGTATTTACTGAATGGAGGAAAGGAAAGGAAAGCAATAGCTAAGCCAGGCCAGCAGCAGGCACAGAACTCTATAAATACAGCATCGTTTCATGATGATAGTGATGAGGACTTGTTGAATATTTAATAACCCCTCTTGTGCCTAATCAAATATATATAGAGAGATTATATATAACGGGACAACATTTCCAACCAAATACGAGGACTTCAGCCTGAAAGATTTTTCTGAATTTTGCCTTTAACAAGAAACCATTGAAAAGGGAAGAAGAGAAAGATTTCTTGGTTGTTTACAATGATCTGTTCAGTAATGACTGGATTTCTGACATCCAGTTGGCTGAGTTAGTTGACTCTCTCTAGCCAGGGCACTTTTTTTTTTAAGTCTCAGCATAGATGTTAAATGCTTGCTTAAAAAAGAGAAACCTTTGAAAAGAAAGGATTAAGGCTCAATGAAGCCCCTGGCTTCTGAGACTCAAGTTATCTGACTACTATTGTTTTAACTCCTTGTATTTATTGAGCCTCACTACTCAGGTTTGCTTACTAGTAACATGTTCTTCCTGCCGGCAGGGTATTCTTCTATGGGCTCACCCATTGTGAGACGAGGAAAAGTATAACTTCAGTGTGTTGGGATGATTTGATGTAAATTTTGGAGCTGGTCTAATTTATCCTGTAAATTTGAATATCCATAATAATTTAAACAGATCATTGGTTCAAAGGTGTGGACTGAAAGGTACAATTCTGTATAGCTTTAGCTTGAAATGGTTGCTGTTCTTCGCATGGTTTTTGGTTTTTTTTTGGTACTGGTCATATGACTGACTTCATCGGTATTTGCCTAAGCAGCTGACAAGCACCCAAAGATTTTTTTTTTTTTTTTTCCTTGATTATGGCTGGACTGGGCCAACTGCACAGAGAACCAGAGTTTTCAAGGACATAGAGGCAAGGTTCCTGTAATACAATCTGCGCTATCCAGTTTGTCATCACCAAGGACTGGAGAATTCCTAATCTGTATAAAGCCTCTCTCTGGTATTAATTTCAAGAAAATAGATTTGGGGCAATATTTTCTGATAGCCTAATTTCTAGTCTGTATACTATGATCCTGGCCACGGTCATTGATTAGAGATGTTGTTGGAAATAAATGAAACTCCGTTTTTCTCAAGCAGTCTTGCTCCTCTCCAGGTGTTTCCTAAATAAAATTATGGACAAAGGTAGGGTTTCAAAGCATTGTACAGGAACATGCATTGATCAGAATTTTTTGAAACTTTTTGTTGTTCCTTTTGGCTGGCTTATTCAGTTTCAACAATGGTTTCTTTTTATAAAACTCCATTTTGAATCAAAATAGTGTAATATAAAATATTCAGCAATTTCAATAAAAGATATGAAGTGGGTATTCCAAATCCCACATCTCAAGTCTGGAATCTTTCTTACACTATTCTGTATGCTGCTCACCAGCCTAGTGTGACCCTTTCCTGCTGTGATGGTTAATGCCTCAATCATGTCACTCAAAATGAGAAACAAATGTTTGATTACAAAGATCAGAATATATAGGTAGGACTGATGGTGTATTCTTTCTTTAATCAGACTTCAGCTTTGTTCCTCTTGTATTGTTACCAGTGGAGCTGTAAGTCAGTCTGGCTTAAGCTGCATGTTTTCAAACTTAAAAATCAGCATTTTTCATATTTATAATTAGGAGAGCTTGGAGAAGTGAAAGGCTTGATGGTGTATTCTTAATAATATCTGTTATCATTACAACAGTTCTCTCCAATGCATGTTGGAGTGTTCTGATTTCCTTCCCCAGGTCATCAAGGCCAGCATTTTGGAGTTGTTTGATCTATGAATCAACTGCATGAAATTATTTCTCCTGTGTAAAATCCCATGGTCTCTTTGCTTGGGCTGTGCCTAGCAAGGCTTAGGTAGAACACAGCTATTCTGTCTGGGGGTGCTTATCTGACCAATATCAATGATATAATTTGCATCTGACAGCAGTGAGTGACTTCAGTGCCTGGTCTTGGAACTACTGCCCACTTTTTACCTAGGTAGACATTTGCATGTAGGCTGGCTGAATCTTGCCTCACAGAGAGCTGGATGCATAACCAGCTTCACCAGACTGTTTTTCCCAGAATACTCAACCCCATGGAAGGGAAGGGTTATGACAATAGCAGGGTCCAGGTGAGTATGCACAAATGGCTGGACCAGGAGCAGATGCTTTGCCAGTCAGCAGTACAACTCCTTGGGAACTGTCCCTAAGAAACCCACCAGCCTGGCAGAGTCCCACACAGCCCCCTCTGGGCTGGCTGCAGAGAGAAGGGTGGGAAATGAGGAAAACTGGACCAGTCTGGATTGAGCTTCTGTAGTTCAAGGGAAACTTTTGCACGCCATTACCAACTGTTTAAATAAAACTGTTGCAAAAGAAGTGATGTGAAGGGTTTTTAGTGTTTTTAAGATGTGGCCTAATGCCTTAGCTTCACCCACTTCCCGGGCAGGCTTTGACTTCAGTTCCCTTGGCCCCAGCTGCCTGCACACATCCTCCTGCTGAGGAAGGTTTGCAGGGGCTGGCTCTGAGCATGGTGGCTGCTGTGCACTTTTTGTGTCCTGTTCCCCTCCCCAGCTCTGCGTGGAACTCCTGAAGCTGGAGAGGCAAGGCTCTGATGTGGGGTGGTGCTGTGTTTGGCTGAGGGTGACACAGCTGTGAGTGGCCAGGAGAGGACTCCTTGTTAACTTGTAGATGTTCCTGATGGAGAAGAGGAGGAAGCACATCTGTGTGATGTGGGGAATGATCTTGAAGTATTGGCCTGCAAAGCAGCTTTCACAGCTGCTCAGGCCACTCTTGGTCTGTAGCTGATGAGCAGTGAGACCAAGTTCTGTTCCAATGCCTGGGCCAGAATGGCCTTCTGAGTTGGTTTATCTTTTTTCAGAGTGTATTGTGTCTTTAATTTTTTTTCCCCCTATTACCTAAGCTATTCCAATTGCTTTCCAGACAATTTTTCACTTTTTAAAAATGTCTTTTAAATGTTACCTTGACTTATGCTTTTATTTCTGGTGGAAAGCTGCTGTTGTCAGCTAAAGATATGGGAGCAGCTGGTCTCTATCCATAGGGAGGACAATGTACCGCTGGAGCCTAATATAATTGCATTTATTTGAGATGCCTGCACTGATGTCTCCCTAAAGTCCTATAGGTCTTCTGTGGTAAAAAAACCAGCTGTTTTGGCCATAGATACTGTATATTGTGGCTTTCCACAGCTATTCCCAGTGCATGATTCTGTACTGAATGCTTTTAATATTTTGTATCTCTGCAAAGATACTGTTGAGTAAAACTGTGTTCCCTGGTACAGGTGGGGAGAGGTTTTTCTTGGGGAATGGAAGAGTGTGGAGGGTGGGGTTGAGACACACATGATACAGGAGTTTTCAGGAAAGCTATTCCTTTACTGCTATTGTGGCTCTATGTATAGACACTTCTTTTTCAGAGTGTACCCACCTGTTTTTTACAGATTTTTTTAGAGAAGCATTGCTCACGTGGTGCCCAGCCATTCTGCCCTAAACCCATGTATTGCTTGTGTGTTGGTTGAATTTTCTATCTATGTTTTCTCCTTAAAAATGCCCATTATTTGAGGAGCTGACTTGCGTAATTAAAAAAATAACCCCAAAGCCCCCAAGAAAAACTGAAGGGCTGTGGCCCATAGGGTCTTTTCCAGAGAACAGGAATGTGTAAGTGCTCTGATTAGGGGTTAAAGGCAAATTCTCCCTGGGTGAATTAAGGTCTGATTTCAAATGAAACCTAAAAAATAGAGCTTGCAACATGTAGTTTAATAATTTATAGAGTTAGTCTTGACTTTTGGTCAAATATCTTTGTTACTTAAGTAGCTTTGCTGCCAACTAAATGTATCAGTGCTGCAGAGGGGACCTAGTTGAGGTTTTTGAGGTGGTTTTGATGCCAAAATGCCAACCCTCGATGAGATTTTAGAGCACATTGGAGAATTTGACAGGTTCCAGAAGCAAACCTTTTTTGTCCTATGTTTGTTATCTGTTTGCTTCACCCCAGTGTACGTGGGGGTCGTCGTTCACCCCTGAGCATCGCTGCTCAGGCATCAGCTGCACTGACCCCCTGGGCAGCCTGGTGGGCAGTGGGAGCAGCGTGCCCCTCGGTCCCTGCCGGGATGGCTGGGTCTACGACTCCCCAGGGAGCTCTCTCGTGACAGAGGTAAAAACAGCCCCCTTTGCCCTGTCCCCTCTGTTACAGACAAGGTGAGGGTTGGGGGGTGAGGGTCGGTGGAGCCTTGGCTGTGCTAAAATATCCCCTGCTTACCTGGAGAAGAGATTGTCTCATACTGTGAACTTGCGCTTGGGGGTTTACAAGTCATCTTCCCTCTGTCCTTGCTGTGGAATGCTGCCTTGGCTGCTCAGGAGGCTTATATCTCTAGCTGGGGAGCAAAGCATATTTCAGCAAATAAATCCCCTGGTAGATAAAGTCCAGTTCTGAATGAAATCCCTGTCACATGAGAGGTCCAATTGGTGAAGGTGTACAAACAGCACAGCTAGCTGTGCTGCAAACAAAACCGGCCAATGCAAAGGTCTTCTTTTCCCCACCCCCTTATTTTTTTTCTTTTTCTTTTTTTTCCTTTTTTTTTTTTATGAAGAGAGTCTTTTAAAGTTGGTTTTAAATAAAAATGAATGGCAGTCAGTGTGGGGAAAGATACTGCCTCCCACAGTTAAACAGCTTAAGTCAGGAATAAACTGTAGAAAAGCCAGTGACTTTTGTGTTCTCAGGAGTGGGAATAAGCTGAAAGTGGTACTTAAGCTACTTGCTGTACTTCAGCAGTTTAGGTGCTTTAAAAACAAACCAGTAACTGGGATGACAAGGTTGGTCTCATCATAGAAACTTCCACCAAATATTTAGAAGTGGTCAGGATTTTTTCCCCCTGTTTCCCCCTGTTTAACACAGGAGCAGTTAAAGTCTGTGCTCTAGCAACTTCAGCATCCAGTTTTGTGAGCGGTTGGCCCTAGGTGTAAGGGGGTTCACTCTAAGGGTACTTCTTTCAGCAAGTGACAGGTTGTGAGATGTGAAATTGAGGAAGTGAGGCACCTCAAATGCAGGGTGACCCAGGCCCTCTATGCAGCAGCAGCTCAGCAGGCATTTCTCACTGGAAAAGGCTGCAGCAGATCCTGTGGTCCAGATGCTCCCACCACCATCTCCTGAGGTTGTGGGAAGCTGAGCACTTGCAGTCTGTGTGGGCTCATGCAGTATGCTCTGACATCAGTTTTCTCCCCTTTCCTGCTGAAGGGGATGCAAGGCCAGGCCCACGGGCCACTTCCTTCATGGGATTACCAGCTATGTCACATAATTCTGCATTTTGTCAATGACTTCCTGGTTTTGACTGTTTCTGTGAAACTTCTCAGGCTCTGTTATGTTGTCCCCTGCTCTGATAGCTAAGAAAAGGAAGGGATAATGCAGTGAAAGCCATGTTATTCCAAAGGAAAAGTTTACATACGGAAAGTGTCCTCATGGAAAATCCCATAGAGCATCAGAAAAAATACTTGTTTTTTTCTTAATTATGGATGCATAGATTCAATTAAACCTAGCTACCAGGAGTAAGGGAAGGGATTCTCAGTCATATTAAGGAAAGGTTTTTGCAATAACTTTTTCTCCAGTAGCTTTTATGCATTTCTACAAGTAAGATAGGATAAGACTAGGTGGCAAATATATGTGGGTACCCATGTGGTATAAAGCTTGGCCACAGATAAAAAATATCTGTTCTCCAGACACATACAACAAGTGGTTGAGTTAAGATCAGAGCAGAGAGAAAATGCTGTGAGCTCAGGGCAGATGCAGATACTTGCACCCTCCTCCAGGAGGCCAGTGCTCCATGGGATATGGGACAAGGCAGGCTCCTGAAGGCATCTAAAATGCTTTTTAGTAAAGGCATCACACTTAGTCCTGAGTGGTCTGTGGGGACAATTCTGCCATGCCAGGGTATAAGGCAACAAGAACTGCTTAGAAATGTTCACCATCAGCCATAAAAAAAAGCTGTTTAAAAACCTAAGGGCGATCGTCAGATCCATGCTGATTTGATCAATGAGTGCCGACAGTTTTGGGTGCCAGTTTTCACAGATAGTAACTCACTTACGTTCCTTCCAAAAAAGAGAGATGAGACATGAATGGGAAATGCCAGTAAACTGCTCAAGGGCTTGATCCAATTTTTAATGTTGGACAATTAGTTAAGTTAGTAGGATTTCTGTGTGCTGATAAAACAGGCATTGACCCAGAATACAAGCTTAAATCTTTAACTTAAGTGAAGGAGAGTTGTGGACATGAGCCAGCTCCTCATTTCACTCTTTTGTCTCTGACTGTGGTTGTTCCTTTAGTTTGACCTGGTGTGTGAGGACTCCTGGAAGTTGGATCTCTTTCAGTCTTCTGTGAACGCTGGTTTTTTTCTTGGCTCCATAAAGATTGGCTACATTGCAGACAGGTACGTGTGAGCTGGCAGAAAAACCCTCTGACCTCCCTTATCAGTGTACAGCAGCCAAGCTTAGATGAAGGTTGTGCAACTGTTATCACCTCTGCTCTTCTGAAAAAAAGGTCATCCCCCTGGGAGTTCAGCCACAGCATGAGCCAGTATCTTTCCTACCTTTTAGCTTGTGTATGGTGGTTAGCACAGATCTGCTCAGTGAGCCCTGCAGAGTCCACGAGGACGGTTTTAGAACTGTACACCCCAAACTTCTCTGTCGCATCAGAGCCCTTGGGTGTTAACCAAAGCCAGGAAATGCTGCTGGTTTGGATCTCCCACTTCATCTGTCACAGTCTGTGCAGCTGCAGCTTGGAAACGATTTGCTTCTTTTGGAGAAGCTTAGAACTAATTGGCACAGATTGCCAGATGTGTACAGCAGCAGTCACTGGGAAAAAACCATATAATCCCTGCACCTCCCTGTTCAGAGCAGCAGAGTCAGACTCCCTTGCTCAGGCACCTGGGGTTAAAGAGAAACAAATGCCAGTACTGGCGGGCCCATTTTCCCCTTTGCTCCCCTTCTGCCTAGGACTATTAGTACAGCAGGCTCTGAGTTGCTCCAGCTGTGAAATGCAGCCCATTCATATGTAGATCATTCATAGTGTTTCAAAGGTTAAGATTTCGGAAAATAAATCCCTTTTAAATCTGGTGCATGTGGAAATATCAGAATGACAATATTAATGCATACTTATTTTTCAGTCCCAATGTAATATATTTAAACATGGGATTATTCTTTATTTCCTGAAAGTTTTGTGGAATTGATGAGCAACTGGCACAGTAACTTTTCATGGCATAGAAAAGGAGATAAGTGGGTAATGGGTGAGAAAAAAAAAAAGCACGTCTCTATTTTGCATAGAAAAATTGGATTTCTTCCCCCTGAAGATAGACAAACCTCTTACTAGTTTAAAATGCTTCCATGACTAGTGGCTTACTTCATTTTGCCTATCATTTTCCAACCCAGGTTTGGCCGTAAATTTTGCCTTTTAACAACAATTGTTGTAAATATTGTGTGTGGAATCCTTCTGGTCTTCGTGCCCACCTACCTGTGGATAGTCATCATCCGGTTCTTGCAAGGGCTGGTCAGCAAGGGCTGCTGGACTGCAGGCTACATCCTGGGTGAGTGCAGGACCTTCTCCCAGGAGCAAGACTAGCTGCAGAAGATGAAGGGACAAAACTCAACCCCAAAAACCGTGGGAAAAAAAAGTGCCATTTGAAAAATGTGTTTTATTAAGGGGTTTTGTCCTTCTTTGACTTCTCAGGATGTTTTCAAACACAGTCTTTAGGGAGAAACAACAGTAGCCTTCAAAGCTCAAGCAAGCAGTGGTGTATTAGGGCTCTTACCTCAAGATAGGCTTTCCCCTATGGTACAGCTCACTTTAGCAGATCTGTCTGGGGCTCACGGCTCTTCTTCCATCAGGCTCTGGCTGGGGAAGGTGACCAGGCAGACACAGTCCCTCTGGGCTGGACACACACAGGATGGTGACAGAGGAGGCCATTGAAGAAGCAGGCAGAGGGTGGGGAAAACTTGAAACATTTTTATGACACAAAGAGCATTAAAGGGCAAACAGTGGCTTCAGAACCTAAAAATAACCAAAGAACAGCATAAACTTGCTGATAAAAAGACAAGGTGTTTGTGTACCTGTGTGTATCAACTGGGCTGAGCAGAGGCCAAGCCATGGAGGAGCCAGCCTGTGTGGGTGCCTGCCCCCAGCACTGCTGGTGAGGCACAGCTCTGTGGCCAGGCTGGGTCTGGGGCCACCTCAGGACTGCTTTCTGGTTCAGGGTAGAGCTGCCTGGGTTCTCTGATTTTTCTGGAGTGGAGTTCAGTCTCTTGTTCAAAATTCCCAACTGCGAGCAATCACTGAAGCAGCAGATTAACTGTTTTAAAAGCTGATCAATGGAACCTTAACTGTATTAGGGTGGCATGTGGCTCTACTAAGTATCTCTGAGAGATGCAGTTCATTGTGATAGTGGTAAAAATGTAAAAGTCAGTGGCCTAAACTTCCATTAAGCCTTTAGTGTGGTCATCTTACTAATTTAGTTCTCCAGATGTCTGATATTAATAAAATAAAATGCCTATCCTGCAGTTCAGACTGTCTTCTGCTAAGACACAATTATTCCTTCCTGTGCTTCCTGGATGCTTGCTTGGCCTCTTAGACCCTGGCATATATAAAATCTCCATCCCCTCTTCTGGAGAGCTTTAAGCCATTTTAGAGCACTAGGTCCTTTTCAGGACAATGATTTGCCCCATCCTGATATTTTCTCTGTTACATCTTCTTATTCCTGGATTCTCTCGAAACTCTCTTATGAAAAAGATCCTGAACCAGCCCCAAAGCTCCCTTAAATTCGTATCTTGTCCCTAAGGGCGGCCAATACTGAATGTCCAGGGAAGGATACAAGGACTGAACAACCTTGTTGTCCTGCTCTGCTGGAGCACTTTTCTAGCCTTCAGCTGCTTCTGGCTCAGTCCTCCTGAGCCTGAGGAGATGTCTGTGCATCATTTGTCTGAGCAGCATTAGCCAATTTGTGGTTCCAAAACTCAGCAATTCATTTGGCTGCTAATTAGCTCCTTACTGCTCTTTTTCTAATGAGTTTGCCTTCTTGAAGCCACACAGCTGAATGCAAAATGTTGAGTGTGGGTGTGCCTGCCTGATGGAATAGTTACTTTTAACTCTGTATCAACAAGACTTAATGTGTGGGTCTGTGCTGTGGAGTTGCAAAGTGCAGATGAACAGTGATCCCAGCCTGGCCCGGGAGCTCTGTGCGTCCTGTGACACAGGCTTTCCTTCTGCACTTGGAGTGAGATGCAGGCCAAAAGCCTCTACTTTAGAAATAAAATATTCAGCCTTCTTGTTGGGTTGGAGGCATTACCTATGTTGGCATTAGATTTCACAACAAAATCCACCTGTGTGCCCTGGGGAGTGCTTGGTTTACTCTGTGATCTCCACAGCAGAGCACATTCCTGGATGTCTTAGGCCAGTGCGTGGCCAGCAGCAGTGTTTTCTTCTCTGCTGGAGTTTGGGTGCCAGAAAGGCGAACCAGGGGGTTTTGTCTGGGGGCATTATGCCGGGTAGCCCATCATTACCAAGGTTTCTCCAAGGCGTTACCGTAGTGTTGGTCCTCCAGCATCCCCCGGCTGGTTTCTGCCGTGTGGGGCAGCCACGGCACTCACCTGTCCTTGTGCACGTTCCCAGTGACAGAAGTGGTGGGCCCGGATTACCGGAGGACGGTGGGCATCCTCTACCAGGCGGCTTTCTCCGTCGGGCTCCTGCTCTTCGATGCCATCGCTTACGCCATCCCTCACTGGCGGTGGCTGCAGCTGATGGTCACCCTGCCGACCTGCTTCCTCCTGCTCTACTACTGGTGGGTGCCCTTTTGTTGGACCTCTGCCCGCCACCCAAAAAACCCGGCTTCTCCTGCTTCCCAGGGCTTGATGCTGAGAGAGACCTCCTTTCTGGCGTGCACACCTCTTGGTTGCGAAGAGAAGGTTCCCAGCAAAAAGGAGAGGGAAATAGGACCCCTCAACGACTGAGATCTTGTTGAATCCTAGCCTGTGCACCTCACCTGACCTTGTGTTTAAAAAACAGACCACTTGCGGGAAAACCGGACTAGTATAATTTATTATTTTCTTTAAGCAATTCATAAATGAAAATAGGTGCCTTGGCATAACTTTAGTTGGTCTTGCACTGAAAATATGGTTATTGACAGACCATCTAATGCTAATGTAACTGTAACAGGTTGTTAGCATGTTCTTTTAAGGCAGAAAAGCTGCAGTTTTTTGTGGTCCAACCGAAAAAAAGTACTTGGACACTCCTTCATTTGAATTTCATCTATTTTTAATCAATATTTTTTGGTTTGAGTGGCTTGGATTTGAGAAATTGTCTGCATGGGTCAAGTGGTTAGGAATAGCAGAAAGAAATTTGTTGCCTTCCTTCTTCCATTGTTTTGAATTAGCAAGCCAGTTCTAGCTTAATTAGTACTTCTTAACCTAGAAGTATTATTGGCAGAAGTGAAAAAAGGCTCCCTAAGAGGAGCTGGTTTGTGGTGAATGGGCTGGATAAGACAAGAGCCCTACTCACCCTCGAAGCTCCTCCCTGATGTATCTTTAGCAAACTCCTCTTTGACTAAAGCCACTACCTCAACTGTTCCTCTTCCAGTCTCAGCCAGGGGATATACTACTTTCCCTCACTGGGGGAGTGGGATGTAGCACACGAAACCCACCCAACCAAAAAACCAGAAATCCATCTACCTCTGTTTAACCCCTCCAAAGTCTCCGCTCACGGGAGAATGGGTAGGCTTTGCTTCGTTGTATAATGGCATCCACTCGCGTTGTAGGTGCCTCCCAGAGTCTCCCAGGTGGCTGATATCTCAAGGAAAAAATGACAAAGCCATGTACTATGTACTGGCTCTTCCATAGGATATTAAATTTGAAGAGGAAGACTGTGGAAAGCAGAATCCCTCACTGATGGACCTCTTCAGGACACCACAGATAAGAAGAAACACGCTCATTTTGATGTACAACTGGTAAGAATATAATGCTAGAGACCTGGTTTTGGAGTTCTGGATTTGAAAACTCCATCAGGACACAGATGTCTGTTCTCTTACTATCTAACAAATCCAGGATGCTCTTCTCTGCCCAGGTTCACGAGCTCCATCCTCTACCAGGGGCTCATCATGCACATGGGAATGGCTGCTGAGAACATTTATCTGGATTTTCTCTATTCTGCACTTGTTGAGTTCCCAGCTGCCTTCATGATCATCATCACTATTGACCGTGTCGGGCGGCGCTACCCCTGGGCCGTGTCAAACCTGGTGGCTGGGGCCGCCTGCCTTGCCACAGCCCTCATCCCAGAGGGTAAGTCACCTGAATGAAGCCCTGTGGGGGCTTCCCACCCTGTCCTCTGGAACCTCCACGCTGCTTTGTGAGGGTGCCTTTGCCACTGCTCACGTGGTCCTCACTGCTCCTGTTCCCTCACTCACACGTGTGAAACGAGGTCCCTTAAAAACATCAACTGAAGTGAGATCAGAGGTCCCACAAAATAACCCTGTTGTATTAACTGACAGCTGCTAAATCACTGGGATGCTTTTAAATGTGTTGAATGTATTTTCTCTGCAGACATGCATTGGTTAAAAGTGATAACTGCTTGCATTGGGAGAATGGGAATTACTATGGCTTTTGAAATGGTTTGCTTTGTAAACACAGAACTGTATCCAACTTATATCAGGTAGGTGCATCCTCTCCCCAGCTGGCATTTGGCCTGGAAACAAATAGTTGAGGCTGATGTGTATCTTATGTTTTATGCTAAATTAAGTTACCCTCAAATGTGTCAGAACTACACAGGTACTGTTGAACACAAAGTAGGTGAAGCACAATTAAAATGCTTTAAAAAGGTAGCTTAATAAAGAAATGTACTTTTAGGCAAGGGAAAAAAAATCACATGACTGAAATAAAGGGAAAATTCAGGAGAACCAGGGTGGGTGAGGGATCTGAAGTTCCACAGAATGCCTGGATCTGTCCTGTGAAAGTTGTGATCCATCCCCTTCCCTCTGCAATGCTCTGACACTAACATGATCCCTTTGCTGCCAAACCAGGAATCTCGGGGTGATGGTTTGCTCCTCTTTGTGTGATATTGGTGGAGTCATCGTCCCCTTCATTGTCTACAGACTGGTGGAGATCTGGCACGATCTGCCACTGATTGTCTTCAGTAAGTGCCACCTTACCTCCTTGCTGGCCCCTTGTGGGGTGCAGTGGAGCACCCAAGTTCCAAAGGGAGGGAAAAGCCACCAACGCAGCTGCTTGAATTCAGCAGAATCCCCTTGCTCTCTACAAGGCCTTAGCCTTCAGTTTATGACAAGCTGGAACTTGTTTATTCACTCATGTCCCCCCTGCCCCTGTGATTTCTCCTTGCATTTTAAAGGAAGTTAGAGTCAAATACACGTTTGACAGCTGGCAAAGAACTCAGGAAATTTTTGATTAATAGCTTAATATTTGATGGCTTTAAAGCTGATTCACTGCTCTTTTGTGAGTTATATTGTCTCTGTCCAGCAGTTAAAACCTAGAATTTAAGGTAATTGCCTATTTAATGGAGTACAAGTGTGGCTGTTACGCTTCAGCTTTTCTAACACTTTGTTAACTGTCTCTTCATCTATTTGGAAAGTGGCTGGTAAATAAATGCAAGATAAGTTTTGCAGACTAGTGACCTGAACTCTCAGGTCAAGGCCTGCAACACTTTTGTGACTCTTTAGGTCAGCACATTATTTATAGAAAAATACCTTGAATGGCAATATGCGGATTTTAACAGACAGGACATCTAGAAGGGCGCTTAGTAGATTTAAAATACGTGCCAAACATGTACAAACTGGATAAAAAAAATTATCAGAGGAGAATTTGGTCATATTGCATAGAAGATAGTACATTGTGTATACATTTTCTAATCTTATGGGAATAGCATAAATATGGAATGTGTTTTCTGGCATGCTTTAGTACTAAAAAGAGTTTTTTCCTCTATAAAGGAAGGATCTGTCCAGTTTGAGGTGTCCTAGTTCATGCATAACTCAGAAGACAACTTGTCTTGGTGCTGTCTCAACGGGGCAGCCACATCCTTTCATTTTAGCACCAGCTAAAATATAGTTTTGCATACAGAGACTGGAGGTGTACATCTTGTATGAAGAACAAAATAAAATGCCATTGACAAGTCTATGTAATAGCATAGGTTGATAAATAGCAAGTAGCAAGTGGTTGATAAATGCTTACAAGCTCTTTGTGCCTCTGTTTTGAAGCTGTGCTTGGTTTGATTGCGGGTGGATTGGTGCTCCTTCTGCCTGAAACTAAAGGAAGAGTTTTGCCCGAGACTGTGGAGGATGTTGAAAACTTTCACAGGTGAGTCATGATGATGAACTTGTAGCAGTTTTCACTTGAAACTGGGCAAAATCCCTGTCCAGGGGTAATCCAGGGATTACTTGGCTGCCTTGTTTGTTTCCAAGAATTTGCTGGGTAATTTCCAGGCTCTCACTGGACAGATTCAGGACTTTTTTATCCCATGTCTACCTAGGCATCTTGAAAACAAGTAGCCTAGGCCTTTACTGGCCTGTGAATAGCTGCACTAGTCTCTCAAATGTGCTGCAACACCATTATAAATGGTATTTATAATATTAATTAATAATTATTAACAATTGAACAGCAAAAGGGCAGTCTTGATAGCAGCTTCACACGAAGTGAAGCACTGGTATCTGCTGAGGAGCAGACTAGGTTTGCTGAGGAGCAAACCTAGGGAAATAGATATCTGATTGTTTTCTTGGGGCAAAAGCAGAGCAGGTGAAGAACTTGAAGTTATGTTCTCCCTGAACAACTTCATTCCTGGTTGATGTTCATGTTCTATTACTCTTGCAGGAAAAGTGCTCCAAAGACCAAAAATATCTATCTCCATGTCCAAGGATCAGAAGCAGGACGTGGCTGAAGAAGGCATAACTCTTACTGGGTAGTGTGCTTTAGGGCAGTAGCGTGGAAATGCCACTCAGAATAAATACCCTCTCAAAAATCTTGCCTCTCTTATTTCAATTTCTACGTATATCCTTTATTTACAGTGTTTAGAGTTTTCTGATGGGATTGTCCCTATTGCTGCATAGCTGCTTCCCCCTCTGTACACTAAGAGAAACATATTTTAGGGCTGGGAAATTTTTGTATCAGCTGTGTGGATTTCAATGTGCACTTCAAGAGGTCTAACTTGAGTATGGTGGGATCCAGACCAACAAAACTTTGTAAGTCTCCATAAAGTCTGACTTTGTTTGTTTTTTTTAAGAAGAGGCAGCATAATGTAAGAGATTTATCTCCATTGTAGAATCAAGGTAACTACAAACCTGGTTCAATCGTGTGACAACTCACGCAGAGTTTTTAAAAATTTGATTTTAGTTTCTCCTATTTTATTGGCTACTCACTAGGATAGATGCTCACAAGGATGGGCATGTGGCAACTCCAGAGCATGAAAAAGAGTGCATAGGAGAAACACTCATAATCCTTCATAAGGTAATAGCATTATACATGTGCCCTGCAGGGGCATTCCTTTGGAGTGAGCTGGGATCAGGCTTGGGGACTTGCAGGACCCTTGGTCAGGGTCCGGTGCATCAAGGAGAGTCAGGAACAGCACTGGGTCTTCCAGGAAATGCCCAGCACCTTCAGAAATTTCCTAGTCCATCCTGTTGAGCGACTGTAACAGGCCTGTGGTTGCAGGGCAAAACAGGGACAGTGGTTCTGTGGCTCCCCTTCCCTGTGTTGCTGTTCCCTATCTGCTGGAAAACACTGGTTTTCCATAAGGATACCGTGAGCAGGGTACAAGATACCTCTGCCTTTTGATAATCAGCTGCAGAGAGAGAACTCCCAGCTGAGCAAGACACTGCTGGACTCGAGCAGGCAGGGTGAAATTCCCCCAGGATTGGATCCCAGTGACCTTGCACCTGCTTTCAGCTGACCTGAGGTTCAGTTAATGTTCAGTGTTGCTGTGGGGGCCTCCAAGGCAGGGAAGCGTGTTGTGCAGCGAGGCAGAGCCATGGCAAGGTTGCCCTGAAAAGATTAGGGACAGATCAGGAATGACATGACTTTGGCCCAGGCAGTTGCAAAATTAACATTTGCTTCAGGATCAGAGGGGAATTGTCCTTAGAGGGCAGGAGGAGCAGCGGGGGTGTAGTTATGTGTCTGGTAGAGCTGATGTGCTGCTGGTTGAACACATGTCTCTGCTCTGCACTAAAAACATATCTGTCAGAATTTCTGACTTACAGTTCTTTGATATAAAACCTGTTACAGATGGAAAATGGGGGCAGTGGCAACAAGTCAAGCAAAACAGAAGCTGAGATGAATAAATTAATAACTGCAAAAGCTGAGTCCCAAGCCCCTTGCCCACCACACTGGTATTTATTCCCACAAGCACTGCTGCTGGCACAGCAGGAGCTACAGAGGTGGCAGGCTCTGGCACACCTTTGCTTTGCGGTCACCTACAGGTGATAGTGGCATCTGCTTCTGGTGGCTGCTTAATAAGCCCAAGGGCAAATGTCCTTCCTTCATTTCTTTGCTGGTGACCTTTTCCCCATTCATGGATTGCTTCCTGGAGCTGGGAAGTTAAAGAGATGTAAAAGCTGGTCCAGCTGCACGTGGCTGCTCTCAAAATGGGGAGCAGCAGCAGCATTGTGTCCTGGGGGGTGGCAGGAGGGTGTCAGCCCCAGGCTGTGAGTGGCGCTCATATCCTGCCTCAGGGAACACACTTTGACAGTGACACAGCTTCCCTTCCTCTCAAGACTAGCTGAAGCCTGTCTGCTCCTGGGGCTGTTGGAGCATAACCAGGGCTGTCCCTGGAGCTTGGGAAGGAGCACTTCAGGACCAAGCACCATCTGACTCTGGTAAGAAACCTGGGAGCAAGTAAACAAACCCCTTAAGAAGACTCTGCCCCTCACCTAATTACTTAAACCTGGACATTATATCAACTATGCCTGAAGAGAACATAAAAGCTCCATGTTTTGGGGTGCCCATCAGTTTTCACCAACTGGGTTTTGGCCACCAGTTTTAATTTTACAAATTTCCTGGTGTTCTCCATGGCATCATCTGATGGGCAGATGATCTTGTGGCCAAGGGCAGCACCTTTCTATGCACTGTTCTTGTCCTCTGCTGTTGCTGTCAGCACCTAAATCCTAATGCCAACATGCAAGCATGGCTGTTGTTTGGACACTTCTGTGTTCCTATCCCATCCCTACTCTACAGCACTACATCCTTAATATTTTAACATATTAAGAAATTGGGCCGTCTTGCACATCTAGAGCTGGTCGGGAGACAAGCTCAAATCCAGAGAATAAATATAAGCTGATGAATATGATGTGAATCACAGCTTCCCAAGAGCTGTGGAGAGGGCTCTTCAGCCTTCAAAGGCACTACAGCAGTGATTTTTCCACCATGGTATGGAGGGAGAACTACTTTAAAAGCCATATCTTTTTTTGGCTTAACTTTTCCCCCGCCTCAGTACTTATTTCTGACAGATGTTTGGGAGTTTAGCCATGTAAATAATCAATCTCAGGAGATTAGGAAAACATTCATGCATAAACACAAACTTTCATGTGCTTCAATATGCAGGGCAGAGTGTCCTGTTACTGTTTGTGCTGGTCCCAGGGGTGGCTGTGATGGGGCTTTCTGCCTCTTCTCTGTCACTCTTGATGCACTTGTATGCAGCCCAACATGTCCTGAGGATTCACTGCCCCCAACTCCTCATTGTCTTTTATTTTTCATTTTCCAGCTTGCCTAATATCTCGTCAATGGGTGGTGGGAGCTGAATTATCAACCAACCAACAGCAGCAAGATTTTAAGGGAGGTAGGGGGAACTGTGACAGTAAATCAGACACGGCCTCTATGTTACTTTTGTGCAGAGTCAGCTGTAGCTTGGAGGAAGAGTTGGGCTACGACTGCACTCCTTGCTACAGAAATGAGCTGAGTGAACAGCCCAAAGAGATTTCTGGTTTTATAAGAAGCAAAAGAAAATGTTCATTAATTTCCCACTCCTGCCACATGAGTTGCTGATGTCAGATGCCCTGGGACACCAGAAACATGAATGTGTTCAGGAGGCAAATAGAAAAAAAATTTGCAGGATGGTCCATGAACCACTTCTGGCCCAGGAAGTCTGCTCCTATTACACACAGTGCTTTGGCAATCAGATGGCCCCCGTGGGGGTCAGCCCTGCTGCTAAACAGTGGTCCCTGCCCAGAAGGTGCAACTACACCTGCATAACTGAGGACTGAGCCTGTGAGCCAGCCTCCCTTGCTGACCTGGATCAGGCAGGATGTCACCATCCAGATGTAGCTCAGTGCAAAGGCCAGCACAGCCCCTGAAGCTGCATTGAGGAGGACTGTGACCAGAAGACAGAGTTTGTGCCCAAAGCTGTGGAGGGAAAAAAAAAGAGAAGAAAGAGGCTCAGCTCCTGGAAGGGTAGGAGGTAAACCAAAGGGCTTGAAGAGGCTGGAGGTTTTGAATAGCAGTCTATATCTGCTGTTCCCTTTGCATCATTAACCATCTCTATGGAATTTCAGGGATCTCCCTGTCTTGTGTTTTCAGGTCACTGCTCACTTTTGGTTAATGACTTGGCCAATGAATTCAAGATTGCTCTGATATGGCTTTCCAGCCCATCTTTCAAAGCTGCCATAGCTTTATAATGGGGGTTTGTTTGCTAACTGTGATCTTTCCATATTTTCTTATCAACCCTGGCTGACTACTGTCATTTGTCATTCCCTTTATCACCATGACTCACTGATAGTCAGAAAGAGAGGGTTTCCAAAAGAAACAAGCTGTCTGGAACACTGGAAAAGCATTTGACCTCTAGCTGACAGAGATACATATTCAGTTAGAAGTATGAATTATAAAAGCCATTTAATTAGTCAACATCCACTAACAAGAATACCACCATAATAGGTCCCAGCCAAAATGAGTGGCTTTTGTTTTCCACAGTAACATCAGCAGATCCCATCATTCAATCTTCATCTTCTCATGAGCCTGACATACAGACATTTTTGACTTGCCCTAAAGTTCAGCCCATGAGAGCCTCATCAGACCACATTTAAGACTTGTGGTTTTGTTTTCCCCCTGAGTGCAATACATCCTGGTTATGGTACTTTGTGTTGCTCTTGGGTGCTCTCAGTGCAGGAGCAGCATGAGCTGGGACAGGGTGGTATGAGCAGAGTGGAGACCCCTTAACACTCTGACATGGACGTGTTTTATCTTAGGAGGAATCATTTCTTACTCCCTCATGTCTTTTCATACCCCTGCTTCAGAAAAAGGCTTTGGGAAAAGATCCTTCAGTATTTTGACAGAGAGAGAGAAAGAGAGACAGACAGAAGAGCATTTAGGCTATAAATGACTATGAATTTGGAAGCTCTGGTTTCTGTTGGCTCTCACCATCACATGGTGGCAAGAAATGCCTTTGCCAGGGAACATGATTGCTTGGAAAGGTGATCTGAAGAGTGGTGCTTCTGACAACCATGGAATCTGCCCTCTGCTATTTCATGTCCTGTTATGCCTGGATGAGGATGCACCACCACCCAAGCCTCACTTCTGGGAAAAAGGATGGAATGCTTTCAAGTTTACCAGGAGATTAGTCAGAAAACAAGAACTTGGATTTAAGGGAATGAGAAGATGAGGGAGGTGACAAATGTTTCTGATAAAAAAAAATAAAAAAATCTTCCAAAATGCATGTGAAGAAAAGCTGAAATTGTCATAAGTCTTTCCACTTCTGTCCTGGAAATCAGACAGAGGACTCCATCCCAGGGTGGAAGACTGTATCTAGGATTTTAGTGGTATTGTTGTAGCCATCTGATGTCTTTCACCTGACAATTTCTTTTGCCAAAAGTGTAGACACACACAAGATGTAGCCACAAAGAGTTACTTGAATAAATCACTATCTACTGATGAAAAGTTCCATTTAAGCTGAAAGCTTATAAAAAAGCTGGTCTGGCCCACTGGCAGTATGGTAACGATTTGATGAGGATGGGAAAGCAAGTTGTCCATCTGTGCATA